CCCGTGAGAGAACCACAAGTACCTAAGGATACACCTAGGGATATCACCAGATGCATCCACTTTTACGACCTGTCCTTAGGTACTTACATCATTGCCACGGCCCCATCTCAATCCGAGATGTTACACATAAGTTATCCGAACTTAAAAGATTGGAAACTGAGTTCCAATTACCCATATACAACATACTTCCCCTCGAGGGGAGATATCCCTTTGTAAACCTCCACTCTCTGCCGCTTTCCCTCCTGGTGCCCTTCGTCCCTCTAGCTCTCGCTGCTCTGCATCCATACACTTCTGGCGCACACTGTGCGAATATAGTACAGCGCAGAGTATAATCAATATTCTCCCCTGTCCCCCAGCACATGTCGTTGGGGACGTTTCGCGAAAGTGGGGAGCAAAGATGCAGAGAGGCAGATGCAGAGAGACGAGGGGCATCGATAGAGATAACGGCAGAGAGCGGAGGTTTGCTGGGGATAAGTCCCCCTCGAGGGGAAGTATAGCATACGGCCCCAGGCGGCTCGCGGCGCGCGATGACTCAATTGCTCTTCTACTCCCTCCTCGGCGAAATAGAAGTAATTTCATGTTCAGGACATGAATATAACACCACCCAAGGCTCATATGTAGAAGGCAAAACAGTTAGCGCTGAAAAGTGCGAAGAAACTATTAGGTCGCAAGATTTTTCTCTGAGTCTACAAGGGAAGGAATTCTGTTTAGATTAACCCATCCTTTGTGCAAAAGTGACAATCAATCAACCAGACCGCAGAATCCAAGAAAAGAATCTACTGCAATGCTACCCATCAAATCGTAGAAGTTGAATCCTGAGCAGTTACCTCACAATAAAAATATACGACATGCACTTCATCAACTCTCTTCACATTTCCATTTGAAGTCCATCTAGTTGACCGCTTCAAATCTGACAGGAACAATGTGCGCTGTTTCAAACATACTCCCGGCGGATCTTTTTAGCACAAGAATGCTGAGTTGCGGGCAAAAGGGACCTCGGACGGGATTCGAACCCGCATCTTCAGCTTACCGGGCAGTTGCGTTCCCTATTACCACGTTGAACGTGTCGAAGGCAATGGCACAAATAGCCATTGAGGAGTGGTCAAAAGTGGCCCCGGTAGCGTAATAGGGATCTTTTTTGCTTATTCTTGTTTGGCTGCTAGTTTCACGCCCATGCCAGGAACCATCTATGGCTCCGAGTGCTATCTCGCCGAGGAAGAAGTAGAAGGGTAGATTAGTTATCGTTCGCCGCGAGATCTCCCTCCCCCCACAGTTAGCACCCACACAGGCTAGCGTAAGTTCATCATCTTGCGAAGGACGGATTGGTGCCGCACCAAAGGGCAACTAGGAAAGTACAAATATCGATTTTGCGAACGCCGACGTCCAAAAGTATCTAGGAGTAGACCATACAGAAGTATCTAGGAGTAGACAATACAAAGAAATAGGAGAATAGCAGACAGCTCGATTAGGCGTCGTGAAATTGCGGCATCTGCAACAGCATTCTTCTCCTTCTCCATACCTGGCATTACTAGACCCATACCTATACTTTCCAGGTCCTCGAGATGCCTGTAGACGCTGACGCAAAGATCGCAGCCAAACGAGTGTTTCACCCGCGACCAGAATAAGAAAAACGGGTTTGGGCTCAGTTCTTTTCTGACATTCTGAAGGGAAGACGGTTGTTTGGCGCGACCGTAATGTCAGGTAAGGCTGCGTTAATGTACGACCCATTATCTGTTTCACACAACGATGCTGCACCCTGATAGCAGGTCAGGAAAGATTGGTGTCACTGTCACCGCGCCAAATGACATACACCCGGTAGGCCACGTTTGAACCGTCCTGAGGAATCATTTCAAATGCAAATCCGGAATGTAGGAAGGAAAGGAGGAGAATTTTACAGGATTCCTGTCGATCGGATGTTCTCCTGCTGAGTGTCTAGACGTATTTTCCCGTCGCATTCTTTAGCCGAACATTTGGAAGCGAGGAAAATAAGGAGGATGGATGAGAGAAGGAATGTGGCAGCAAGCAAAAATGAAGGAGGAGGAATGATTCGCGAACGGCAGATGTTCCTAAGCCGAACGTGAATCACGTGAACTGAACGAAAGTGCACACGGCGGGCACTTTCATCGACGTTCATGCATACGTGCGAGGCATCGTTTTGGGACCATCGCACATTTGAAGCCTAGTGTCCTTTAAGGAGAATTGGGGACGGGAAGAATTTTGCTACATTCGGAGCAGACGCGGATCGTTCTCTTTATGGCTGACGTGAAAGGGTGTCGAGAGATTGTGTGACAGTTGAACGGTTAGTTTCAATTCGACTCTTCTTTTTAGGTACATGCATTTCCTTTGAGCCGTTGTAGTGTTTCGTGGAACCACAAACTAAGTTTCACTTGAGGGAATTGAGAGGAAAATTGCGCCTTGTCGGTACTCAGGAGTACATATTCCTGAAGAGTTTATCGCGCTTTCACTACAATTTCTTTTGAATTTTCAATATATCAGAAAACAATACCATATCAAACCATTTGCTGAAACGAAAACCGCAATGAAGTATGAAGTTGGTGCAGATCTAGCCTATTGACAAGATTCGAGCAAATCGATGGAAGTCACTAAGTTCTTCCCGTATATTTTCCAATGTATTCACAGCGTATTTCATAAAGTATTCAATGCTAGCGCTATCGGTTTAGCTGATCAATCCTTGGGCCTCCAAATTCCACTGCTCGACGATATTCGTCAATTATCGCGGGTGGACCCTTTCATCTACCTGAAGGGGAAAATGACCTTATCATCCTGTCACAATGATGGTCCCGCTTCTTATTTCCTCTAGAACTTCGACTCACAGCCTATTACTTCGCTCTTGTTCCCTGTGTTTAGGCCTTTATGTTTGTGTTTGTTTGTTTGTGTTTTGTTTTGATTTTGTTCTATTTTCAATTCTTCACTGTGTGTTGCGTATTTAGATTTTTTTCCCTGGTCTATGGCACACCCTCGGGTGTATTCAAATAAATAAATAAATAAATAGGTCAGTTTGAGGAACCCGAAGGATGATGAACCCGCTCGCTCGAGGTCCCCCTCGGTTTGTTCGCCTGGGGTCCCGGACGAATTCGTTCGTAACGGGTTAAGTTGTCAGCAAGCCCCAGTACTGTTGTCACCTCTCTCTGCGTCCTGGACCAAGGACAAGGACCAGGATCTCGCGGGTGGACCCTTTCATCTACCTGAAGGGGAAAATGACCTTATCATCCTGTCACAATGATGGTCCCGCTTCTTATTTCCTCTAGAACTTCGACTCACAGCCTATTACTTCGCTCTTGTTCCCTGTGTTTAGGCCTTTATGTTTGTGTTTGTTTGTGTTTGTTTGTTTGTGTTTTGTTTTGATTTTGTTCTATTTTCAATTCTTCACTGTGTGTTGCGTATTTAGATTTTTTCCCTGGTCTATGGCACACCCTCGGGTGTATTCAAATAAATAAATAAATAAATTATTTCCACTTTTCGAGGCCATATGAGAAAAATTGTTTGTATTGTTTTCGTCGCCTTCACAATGTTGATGTTTCTTCGGTACATTATGAGCAAGTCATCTAAGGAAGTTCCGAGGGACTCACTGTGTAAAACTGTCGTAAGGTTCCGTTCATACTTTCCGTTGGCGTTTAGAGCCTGGTTATAAGTATGGATAGCAGTCGTTGGCACAAAAAGCTAAGTTTGTACCAGAACGCTCAGATGCTGGGGTTTCAAAATGCTAGATTGATTCCAATACTTTCTTTTTCTTCGCCCATAGGGCTCGTGACACTTGAAACGCTCGACTTACAGATCTATTAAGACGTGGAGTAAAGTGCAATAGGGCACACGCCTGCGGACTCGCACCTTATTTGACGCGCTTACCTAAAAAATCAGCTTTGGTGGACTCGTTTCGTTGCTGGAACGTCTTTTTGGGTTTTTCTTGAAGAATTCTGGCGAGAGGTTTCATTTTTTAGTAAGATAGGAATGAATATTTTATGTTCTCAATCAGTCTCTAGAAATGAGCAAGATCGAATGGAACTTTTCAGAGTTTTACGTGATCAGGGCACTTGTCAATCGCGGAGCTTCTCTTCTCTTTCCTTTTCTTCTTCCTCCTTACTTCTTGTCCTTCCTTCCTTTTCTGTTCCTTCCTTCCTTTACCTTCTCCCTTCAACTACTGTTCTAGTAGAAGCCACGAAAAATGCCCCCGGACCCTCGCAGTGAGAGCACATCAGGTTGACAAGTTGGTCGAAAAGCTGAGTCCGTTTTCACATGTCGTATTGCATTATATTGTGTGTCGATTGTGCCCTACTGGATAACCGTTTCTTTCATCTAAGTTATGGTTTCTTCTTCCCTTTTTCATTCGGTTTTTACCGCTAATATACCCAAATAAGCCCAACCATGCTCTGATATAAGCAGAGCTAATTAGCCGGGGTGTTTATAAAGTTTCGCGTGGGAACTCTCAAACCGGTTTGAGAAAACTTTTGCGGACGTGCGCTTATCGTATGAATGCCTTTAGTCATGTTCCATCTCTCCCTACTTTTTCAACGCCGTGAATTTCACTGCTTTAGTGAGAGTTGTACAGCGGAACGATACCGATAACCTATCCGCTCTGTCAACTTATTTTGCCCACAATTCAACTCGCTCTGTCAAGATATCTCCCCACAATTCAATCTTCCCTTTTCGAAATGCAAATTTCTAATTGTATACGTTTATTCTTGCAGCAGATTCATGTGATGGCTTCCGTTCTGTCTTCGTTCTTCTCTCGTGATCCAAAATCGCAGTTTGCCTATGAACTACCACAGGGATCAGGCACATATTTCAATGGGCTGAATTTCGCTGATAGCTTCAAAAAGGTTCGTGCTACAATGGAATTGAGCGAGAGCTCCTCCAAGTCAACCGTCACCTTTTCCAGGCAGAGCCAGATGAATTGGCAACGGTTTTTTGGACCAGTGGTCCGCACTCTACACTCAAACTTCAAGCTCAGAAACTTCGCACTATGCGACACCCAGATGTTCTGACATATCAAGACAGTATAGAGGTAGCTTTTCCTCCTTTTTTCTCAACTGTTTCTTAGATGCTTACAATGTATGACGAAATATGATGGTAGAGCGCTGAAATATATAGGAGCAGATGCTAAACCCCATTATCGCAAAGAACAAAAGCATGAAACGTCGGATACGCCATGATTCTCTCCCAGTCCTTTGATTAGTTACGTAGCACGACCTTGTGGTTGAAAATAGCGCATGTTCTGGTTCGCCCCGTTTGTTGGTATCAGAGCCTTCGGAGCTGACGAAATAACGGTGGTTTCTTGAGAGGAGGGTCTGAGGGGACATTCTGTGTCCCAGAATGTTTTCTTTTTCCAATTTGTTTTTCTCTTTTTTTTACTTATCCTGCGAATCTCTTCAACCATTAGGATATTCACCTTTTTCTTGTCTTATACCGTCTCATTGAAGTGAATGGCAACTGTGAAGGGCGAGTACCCCCTTAAATTCCTAGCACACGTCCTTATAGTCGGCACCCGACTGGTGCCGTATCCCCATAAGGCTCTGAAAAAGGCAATGCTGCCGAAACCTACGCCGAATAAAGATTTGTAATAATCCCGGATCAAGAAACACCTCTGAATATTACTGTCATCATGCCGAGATTCATGGGGAATCGATCATGGATTAAGCCTTCAGGTGTTGTTAGCTTCAGTGCTCTAACGAAATGCATATTTTAGGTCGATAACACATTCTATTTGGTAACAGAAAAATGCAAACCATTATCAGTTTATCTAGAGGATATGCCTTTGAATGGTACACAGAAGGAATTCGTGGTCTCATGGGGACTTTTCAGAGTGATGGTGAGTCAACTCGCTGATTCTATCGGATTGTTGTGAAGATAGATAGGCTTTCGACTTTCACCTCAACGTAGTTTCTCATCATTGAGTGTTTTCAAATCGAGGTGAAAACCATTACGACCCAGGAAAAACGGTTACTTTGTATAGTAATGTAAGCTGCAGAGTCGTTAGTTTGTATAGGTGTTGCATTGTATAAACTATCTAAACTATCCCTCTGCTATCTATCTGGGTCTGAGAAGCTGTCTCTATAGAAGCACATGTTATTGAGATCCGACTTGCTTGGAAGCATGCTATCTCATTTGAGGAAACGAGTTGTTTTAGAAAGAGCAGCGCAAAAGTCATGTCACTATTCATTCATGGCGCTAGCAATAGGGAACCTATTATTCATTCAGAATGCTCTCAAGTTTCTTCATGAGGCAAATCTTAGTCACGAAAATGTTCGCCGCTCCATCTATGTTACCGCTGGGGGTGATTGGAAACTCGCTGGTTTCGATAAAGTCACACAATTCAAGTGAGTGCCCTGAGCATATTACATTAGGTTGTTCGGAAAGAAATGCGCGTTGAATTTGTCCATTATTTCTCTCCTACTATAGAAGATTTTTCAAAACAGTTTTGTCTATTAGAAAGAGATTTTTATTGTGCATCTTTTGATATATTTTGTCTATGTCTACTTTGTTTTTTTTTGGAGAAAGTTCGATTCGGTCGAGAGAAAGTTCACAAACCGCGAAGAAGTCCAACTCTGGGTGTCCAACTACTTTGAGTCGCAGCCGGCCGAGTTCTTCGAAAGAGGAATCCATTCTTTGCATAAACGTTGGCAACAAGTCATTGATAGTAATGGAGATTATCTTTTGAATTAATCTTGTTTAATTTCGTTTTTATAATAAAAAATTTTTTAACTCAAACGCGCATTTCTTTCCGAACAACCTAATATTTCCTTTGCTATTTACAGTCAAGAAATTATTTCAGCTCTCCTCGTTCGGACTTGAACCAGCTAGCTATTCTTTTATGGGAAGTATTCAACGGGTTTAAGGAGGGCATCACCAAGCCAGAAGCCCCTGGAAGAATGCCACAGAAGCTTCATGATTTATATAAGAAAATGGCTTCACCTGCCGCTGCGCGGACTTCAGTTTCTGATTTGATAAAAGGTTTAATCATTCATATCTCTCTTTTCAAAGCTTTGAATTGATAGACATGTATTTTCAGAGTGTAGAGAGCGGGGTGGATTTTTCAAGAACAAATTTGTGGATACGCTATTATTTTTGGAAGAATTTCAACTGAAAGAGTCAAGCGAGAAGCAGCCGTTCTTCGTGCATTTGAGGGAGAATCTTGACATTTTCCCCGATGATATTGCCAAATATAAGGTCTTACCTAAAATTATCCAGGTAAACTGATTTTTTATTGATTTTTATAATGACGTTTTCGTAAGCGCGCAGTTCTTTTCAGACGTATGAGTATGGTGACGCTGGTCCCAATATATTAATTCCTCTTTTCAAACTCGGACGTCTGTTAGCTGAAGAAGAATATCAAAGAAGAATTGTTCCATGCTTAGTGAAGGTATATGCTTTTGCTACCCCTTTTTGTTCCTAGAAGTAAGTCTTGTTCGCTGCGGGTAATGAGGCGTGTCCGCGCTGCTGCGTTTAGCACGCCGCCAGCCCGTTCTCCACTTTGCTGAAGACGGTAAGCGACAGCAAGTGGTGGAAAATAGGTGATATTAACTACGTGATACAGTTTTGCCGCTTGCTGAAATTAAAAAAACGTACTGTAGGTCTTATTGTACTGTACTCCGCGAGGTTGGTAGATACTTTGTCGGCACGCACATTTCGGCGGGCGCCTTCATCAGAGCCGCAAAGGACTGAAACGTTTTGTGACCATCCGACCAAACGTCTCCGCTGCATTACTGAAGTCCAATAACAAAATGGGTCATCACTCAGTCACGAGAAAGCCCACATACCGTAACCCAGTCCGATCCTCGAGACCAATGGGAAGCTGGTTGCTGAACCAAGTCGGACGGTTCGTCATTCAGAGTCCCTCGTGGAAGGTCAGCTTTAGATAGGCTATGTAGAAGAATCTCCGTTGGCCCTGTGATTCTAGCAGCCTCGCCCGAGCGGAAGATCAGAGACGCCGCCGCATTTGCCAAGGTTTCGAAGATCAGGTGGGCCGGACACGTCATGCGTTTCGAGGACGACCGCTGGACCAGAGCGATCACCGACTGGATTCCACGGGATGTCAAGCGAACGCCTGGACGACCGCCTATGCGATGGTCAGACTTCTTCGTGAAAGCTCTGAACGAATGGTATGAAGTCCCTCGAGCAGAGAGAGTCCATTGGGCAACTCTTGCACGTTGCAGGGACGAATGGAGACGTTACTGGCGCCCGCTCGGAACTCGATGATCAACGGGAGCACAGGTGATACAGGTGATGTAGAAGAAAAAAAAGAAAAGAACCCAAGCGTCAAACGCAGCCACGCTGACACGCCCCATCATCCGCACCGAACAAGGTTATACTTCCACAACTTACTAATTTCGAATTTGTGAAAGCCTTAGCTTACAGCTTTTTGGAAGTCCTGATCGGACAACGCGTGTTAAATTGCTGGAACGTATAGATGAATTTGCTCCGCATTTGACTTCACAAGTTGTTAATGACAAAATATTCGCGTAAGTTCCATTCTTCATTCTATATCTTGAAGTTTTCGTGGCGTCATGAATCATCTAAATATTCGATGCAGATTCATATCAGTTGATTTTTTTGTTTTTCTTTATAAATCGAAGGCGGTGTAGTGGCAGGTTGCACGCATACCACACAAGCGGTCCAGCGGTCAAATCCCCGATACGCTCTTGCCTAAGCCAGCCGAGCCTTCTACCCTCGGGGAACGGTGCCATTTGCGTCTGACCATGAGAGGATGAGAACACTGACTTGGTCGTTTGCTAATCATTATGTAGGCCACATCGCATTCAATGAGCCACCACGATTACGAATGGGAGTAGAATGCTGTCGGCCTCCTAGAAAGGGGTTGACTAAAGGGAGAGACGCCGTTTATTTATCCTTTTTTCTTAGTATTGTGCTGTCCCGGAGCCTCATTGCAATCTGAACGTAAGACACATGAAAGAGGCACCAAAAATTCATTGCAAAAACTACAAAGATGCAAAGGAATCCAAAAGTTTTCGCGCAAATTTTTATTGTTTTTATTCTTTCCTTCATATTTGAGTGCTTGGCACCCTCTTCAGCGATCTGAAATACTGCAATTAGGTGCCTCAATGAAACATGCACCCTGCCTCCACTGTTGTGTTTCCAATCGAGATCTGGACCCTGACTCCACTGGTGTGCTGCCTCCAATCGAGATCTGCCTCCGCTGCCTCCTTGCGAGAGCCGCGCCTCGAAGTGTTGACTGAATGACCGACCCTACCCGTCACCGCTCTTAAATAGTGAAGGACGCCTAGTGATTGTCTCTGCATATGATACTGACCACTCGACCATTATCACGTAGTCAGTGAATCAACTGCAGCGCGTCACGTAGCTCGTCCTTACTATTCATTTCTGGGGAGAGCCTTCTTATTTCCAGTGCTTCCAATAATTTTCTTTCCACCGGATTTTCTATGGAGCGGTGTAATACTGTAATGGTAAGTGCGGGAAATCCTTCATGTGTATGCGTTTTGGTGCGGTGTTTTGAGAGGCTGTTATCCGGATATGCAGCTGGATTGTCTTACAGTCAGATTACATCCTTTTTTCACGTAGTCTTCACTGCTCACCCTAAACTCATTATGGCGATCCCATTAACTCATCAGTAGCAGTAGTAGGAGCACAGGAATAAGCAACGGTTTAACGCCTAATATTTGGTTGACTTGCGATTCAGTTGGATATTATGTCGCGATTCTTCATGGCATAAGCTCCGCATGGTTCCCGGGTATTCGACCCAAATCTTCTAGGAATGCTGGAACAAACAATTTTTGGTGATAAATCCAATTCCACGGAGCTTCAGAACTATGCTGATATGCTACGACATAAAAGCCGTTGAACGCTGGATCCTGGGTGTCGGAACCAGTTTTTCACCTACTTCATCCGCTTAGATTATTCTGCTATGTGGAAGCAACCTGTCCTGGCATAAACTTCATGTTCTAGTGATGGGGAGGGCATGGCTGCTCACCCCACCTGAAAATAGCTCAGGATAGAAGTTCATGGAATGATCCCGCTTGTGACAACGCGTAACTTTCGTGTCCTGCACAAGCACGTGACTACAACTGTTCAAAAACGGAATTATGCCACTATAAGCACAATAGCAGCGACGTTCGGATGGAGTGCGCAGCCAGGCCCTATTCATCGCTGTGATATGGAGTGTAATTCACCTATATCTACGATATTTTTACGCTCAAATGAAAATCTGGTAATATTCTGATAAAAATGTGATTTCTTGGTGAGCTCCAGTTTTACGATTCTGTAAAGTTGGTAACAGAATGATTATTCAGGAACCTCGCATCCGGATTCCTTGATACATCGCCGGCGGTTCGCGAAAGCACTGTCAAGGCGATGGTGCCTTTAGCAGAAAAACTGAATTTTAACAACCTTAATGTGGAATTGATGAAATATTTGGCCAGACTTCAAGGTGTTTTTTTGAACACTCCGGCAATTGTTGTATACGTGTAATATGCCTTTTTACATTTCAGGAGCAGATGAACACGGCGGTATCCGAACGAATACCACAATTTGCCTAGGAAAAATTGCGAGTTACCTGGACCCATCAAAGCGACAAATGATTCTTTTAAGCGCCTTCGCAAGAGGAATGAAGGTAAAACATCAGAATACAAGCTTTGTTGGTGTAAGTGTTTTATTCAAACTCCACTTTGAACCTCTTTGAGGATCCGTTCCCTCCTTCTCGACTGGCCGCTGTCCTAGCTTTATCAGCCACTCAACAGTTCTACACACTTGTTGAAGTTGCTAATCGTGTACTGCCCGCTCTTGCGCCGTTGACATGTGATCCAGAGAAACAGGTGTGATTGCAGGCATAATTCCAGTTTGAATAATAGTCAGCTGCATTGAATTCGTGTGCAGGTCCGGGATCAAGCATTCAAGGCCATCAAAGGCTTCATGGAGAATTTGGAGAAGGCGAGCGAACACCCAGAATTGATACCAGAAATCGAGTCACAAGTGAAAGCTGGTGGTCGGTCATTACTCAACAGTGACAAGGTTCCTCAATGGGCGAGTTGGGCCCTGAAATCACTCTCTGGAAAATTCTACAAAGGAAACCCACCACCAGAAAATCGTCCAGCTGCTTCTCCAGCTCCAGATTCAAACACTACTTCCAGGGACTGCAGACCGGCCAGCAGGTCAGTTGAGATTTGGCGGGATGGTTAAAGTCTTGTTCACTGCGGATGAAGCGGTGCGGCAGATTTCGCGCGGCGCAGAACCCGTTCTCCACCACTTACTGAAGCGGGTAAGCGGTAACTGTTGGTGTGAAAAGACTGATACGAAAGATCACCCACTTTATGTAATTTGCTACGTTTGTTTGTTTGTTTGTCTATCTCTCTATCCGGAAATTCGTTCTACCAGAAGAACAACATGGAGAACTGGGATCAAGATTGGGATTGGTAGGACATGGGACAAGATGTAAATACCACCCGTGACCCTTGGTAGGCCCCGCCCACTGTGGGGGGCGCGCGCCGAAAGTTAGCGATGTCACTGAAAAATTCATAATTCGGCTCCAAAGCAGTCCCAAGACGGAGGAAAAATGGAATAAGGTTGGCAGATGGATGGCCCATCCATCAAATGGGGGAGACGCATCCGAAAGGGCGGGGCGCACCCGACATGGGTGCTTCCCACAAATGTCGGTAACCCGGTCCCCTAGAGCGTTCAGATATTGCGAAAGGGTCCATCCAAATAAACACCTGGTGAGAGTCCGTCTATCTGCGGTGTGCTGAAACCCGCCCACAGTGGTAGGGCGTCGCCTCAAACGTAAGATACTAATTCAAAAAAAATCGTAGTTTGCCCCTGGAGTACTACAGATTTATGGTACCCAATTGGTCACTCACTGAGAATGCGGGATACACCGGTTGTGAGTGGAGCGTGTTACCGTGTTAGGTATGATGTTATTGGTGAAAGAACGTTGGTCATCTGTTCAGGTAAAAGAAAAGCCGATATTAGTTGGGTATATAAACATGTAGAAGAAGGTAGGCGCGGCGGAGCCGCGCCGCCTTGTACAATAAAGTTTGTTCGCTTTAGCAGTGGAAAACGAGTTTGGCACCAAACCCTTCCCGCATGACACGCCCCTTCATCCGCAGAGAACAAGACTATAATAATGTATTGAGCTCAAAAGGAGTTTTTTTATTCGATTGTTATAGCATCAGCGGAAACCAAGAAGCCTATTCAACCAGAGCCATCACCTGATGTTGATGGTTGGGGTGAACTGGAGGATACTGCGGACATAGGTTTGTTTTGAATTTGTTATAGTGGTGAATGACAGTACCCTCAGCTTTTGTTGTAGAGTGCCAACGCCAAACTAATCACGGGTTACGAAGCTATTTCGAAACTGTTGTCTAGGAACTTTGCGACAAAATATTAGGAGAAGTCATGAAACCGCATGTTTTTGTACAGGTTCGATTGATGAATGGGCAGATGCCATGGAGCCACCAGTTCCTTTGAAAATGGATGATGATGAAGACTGGACAGGCGGTTGGGAAGCTCTTGTAAGTGTAGTTCTTGAAGCAGCGTTCAGACTTCACGACGGCAGCGCTTCGATCTCGCAGCGATCTCTATTGTACTAGTGTAGGCATGGAGAACTTTTAAAATACAGGAAGGTTTTTTTTTTGTTTTTCAGAAGCCTACTACGATCTCTCCTACTCCTCCAACGCTACAAAAGCCTTCTCCAACATTCGGCTCGCCAATGGTTGCTATCGATCCTCCACCGAAGCGAGTTGTTCCAGAAAAGAAGACGACAGGAGGTTTGAAGTTGGCCCCCTCAAAGCCGAAAGCTGCAGGTAGCTCGAATTGGATTTACGTCTTCTTCACGGCTGATGATTGGGCCAGTCAGCGGAGATTGGATTGCTGCGGTCCGACCCGTTTCTATTCCTTTTCTTCTTTCAACAAGCGAAAAACTGCATCAAGTGGCGCGCCGAACCAAGCCTCACTGAGAGGCCCCATCATCCGCAAAACAAGATTGTAGAGCTTTTCATTTGTTCCCTGATTTGGTGTGTTTTTAGCAGTTGACGATATTGACTCTTTACTTGGAATCAAACCTACCAGTGGAACCGGCTCACCAAGTCTGACAGGTAGGTTAGAACGGGAATAGCTCATTTTCCTACTATTCATGAAGTGTTATGCCTCTTCCAAGTTTACGTTTCTGAAAACAACGCAACCTTCGAAATGAAGCCTTTTTTAGCAAAGAGCACGAGCTCAACGTTAACCGGCTGGGGAGATTTTGGCGGTGGAAGTCGTAACAAACAGGACGACTGGGGAGCCGATTTGAGTAAGTCAAGATCGAGCTCTTGTTTCATAACGAGAAAAAGTTAGATACATCATAAACTGAGTTTCAGCAGCACTAGCAAAACCTCTGGCCTTGGCAAGTCTTGGACCGAATAAAGACAAAAGTGGGTCCGAAAATTTATTTTTGCATATTTATCAGTGTGAAGGAAATCAAGGTGACCTTTGCTGCTTCACTAGTTTCGGTTTACAACCCACTCCTGTGAAACTTGTGAACTCTTATTAAGCTGGGAGCAAGCCAGCATGGTAAAACCAGTCAACTCCTGTAAGCTCACGAAATGACTCTCTAGATGGGTTGACACCTCGACGAGAAGCAGCAAGAGTGGAAAATGCCCCCCCCCTTCGCCGAACGGCCACTAGAGGTGTAATCAGAGTTCATATGCGATGGGATAAATGACCTGCACATGCCAGGTTTGGCGTAGCGTGCATTGCTGAATGCGAGCGGGAGTTGGGCGTTGGTAGCGATCTCAGATTTTCATTGGTTCACAGGAGCAAAAAAAGTCGCAGACCGTCTTCGTGGGGATACCAAATGTTACTCTGCAAAACTTTTACAGGCCCTTGTAAAGAAGTGCTCCTGTTAGTGGAATGGCCTCTCTACGGCGCTCGAAAAGAGCTTACAGACCTCCTCAAAGTGAGAATTGTTACCTGACATGAACTACGAAAAGAAATTAGCGGAAGTGCAAAGTACCCACCACCTCCCCCCCCCTCCTCTCCTGAGCACAGCGCCCAAAAAGTTTGGAAACACCGACCACCGAGTTTAATCAGGGAGGAAAGCAGCTGCTGAAAGGAAGCTGAAGCTGAACTTTCCACTTTCGTTTGATGTGCGGGCGCCTTCCTTGAACAAGTTGCCAGAATACGTTATGCGCCACTTTCGGGATAAGGTCACCAGAAGCTCATGAGCTCCTACTTTGCCCGACATTTATTTCCATAAACGTCCTAGTGGTGCATTTTTTTTGCTGCTAGCTGTTGAAACTCGTCAGGTCTGCTCTCTTCGTGGTGCACAAGCTCGGCTTGGCAAGGATTCCGGCATTCCCTAAAAATCTCCTTGTTTCCTTCATTACTGTGAGTTGCTCCTGTCCCTGGTAACTGACCCCACTCACGATTTTTGATCTTGTTACATGCTTCTAACTGCTGCTACGAGAGCGATATAGAAATTGCGCTAATGACAACGTAGTAAGTGATCCAGTGAAGAAGGAAAATGTAGAAAGAACCTGGCGGAAATGCCCCCTCATGCTGCACTTGTACGTGCATAAGGCGAATAAAGGGCGTGGTCGAGTTAGTTCTCACTTTCTGGTGTCAACTCTTTCTCCTTACCACCTCTTTCTCACCATTCGAAGTGAAGAGAGCTGGATCTCTGCAGATGATGGGGCGTGTTCGCGCAGCTGCGTTTGCCACCCCGCCAAATCCATTCTGCACCATTTGTCCAAGCGGGTAATTGGTAAACGACTGAGACGAACGATTTTGTCGCTTGCCGAAAAAAAAGAATAAAAACTGGTTGACTTCGCGCCAGCCCCAGCCGCACGGACACCCCCATCAGCCGCGGCTAACCAGACTGTAGTAGCGGAACAAGCGCGCTATCAGGTAGCTTAAAAATGAAAGATGGTCGTCGCCGCGGTCTGTGGGCGCAGGCGTGGCTCCCTCGCGAGCAGGCAGCGCATTCCTCACGCAAAATTGAGCTGCGGAAGTAATAGTATATCCTCCATGCTTCCAGGCAGAGCTACCAAAGAAAGAAGGGGTCTTTACATTAGATCAACGCGGAGCCTGTCTTTAAGATCATAAGACTAAGGTTTGTGTTCAGCCGCACGTCGTAACGAAGCATCAGCTCGAAACGAAACTCGCCGAAAAGAGATAACCGATAAAAAAACCAAACGAACAACAACCAAACCAACGGTAAGTTCGTTTCATGTACTCCCATGAAAGACTTGCTTAGGTATTTTCTTACTGATTCGTTCATACAACTGCTCTAGAACAACGCCTCAAATACGCTGGAAGGTTTCGAGGATTGGTGAGAAGTGATACCGCTTTTTTTCAAGGGAATAACTGCTTTCCAAAAAGTTATGGTCCTACTTTGCGTCATGGGATTCTTTCAGGATTTCGATTATCCATCTTGCATTTTTTTTGTCAACTGCAGACTTTCTTTTCCTTTAATTCATACTGTTAGAGTTGTGCATTCCTTTCACCGGTTTACATTCTACTTTATTATTTCATTCTAACTTATATGGCGTAATCGCTGTAAATGTTGTAAGGGTCGCTAAGAAGTATAATCGAATCGTAAATGTCAGTTTTAGACATAACGTGCATTGTGTCTCATCACTTCTATCTGTGATATAATATATGCGCTAATTATGAGTAAAGTCCTCAGATAATTGATGAAATTGCTTATTTTCTACGAAATAAAGGTGTAAAACAACTTTGCTAATTCTCTACCTTTTTTTCAGTGCTGTGAAATTGGTGGATACACTCCATATCGCAGACGTGGAGAGGGCGTGGCTGCGCACATTATTTGAACGTTGCAGCGACTACGCTTCTTCGTGCGGTATTACCGTTTTGGGACAGCTGTCATCTTGCTTCTGTCCAGCACGAGCCAGGTTGACAATTGTCGCGAATGGATATTTCACGAACAACGTATGCTCTTTAGATGAAGCACGCACATACGCCCCTCCACCCTCCGGGATATGGAGTATATGGGATGTGATATGAAGTGTTATGCTTATAATTCAGCGGTAATTTTAGCCGTGATCGAAAATGATAAAGCGTAGACGTCGTGCGGGCTTGGAGCGCATACAGGGCAGATTCACAACGGTAATGGACCCAGTGACGTCATCGGCAAAGGAAGGGCTTTCAACCGCGCCGCGTCGCACGCCCGATCGCTTGTATGGACTTCCCAGCACTCCGTCCCGAAGTTTCTCTCCCTGAACTTCCTCGTTTCTATCCCCAGAAAAAACAGCTGTCGAGCCGGAGATATAGAAGGGGCACCGAAAAACCGCGAACAGTCAACAAGCGAAGAAATTGTGCTAGAGGGCGGAGTACGACCCTTTCCCCCTCCAGCGACCAAAGTGGCGATGCAATCCCTCCGGTTAGGATTGCACTGCTAGTGACCGCGCTTGGCCAGTACACATTTCAGTAAACTCAGCGTTCCAGGCAAATGTGTTTAAAACCTTACATCTGATGAGTTTATTCGAAGAATCTTTTGTAGCACTTGGGAAAACATCAACAACATCAACGAGTTTTTCTTCCAATTCGTAACTGAAACATTGCAAGGCAAAATCAGTATGGTATACAATAGGCTATGTGTGCAACTCAGGACACTCATTCGTAGGCGTATTTAATTTAGCATGTGACACAAGGGGTGTAGCTTAAGGCATCCAAGCAGCGACATCGCGCGCGAACAATATCGATCCTTGCCAGTTGACTCGATGTAGCACTGCGTTATCAAATCAATAGATGGCAGACAACGTTTTGTAACTTAGCTTTACGCGCTGCGTCAAATTTTGAGGACCACTGTCAGATCAGGGAATTACTCTAAAGTTTTAGTTACAGAATGTCACTTCGGCTATAACGTCCTCGGGCGGGGCGGGCACTTCCCAGCGCATCTGTGTAAGTTTTATGCTAGTTCATCCCTCGGCCTCTCTGGTCGTCTGCGCTCTCAGCCTTTCTGGGGAAGGGTTACAGAGGCGCAGCCGAGGGTTCTACACTTCCTCCCCCCCAGCCCCCACCTACGTCAGCGCCAGCGTGTACTCGACCCAGCGATGATCGAAAAGTGAAACGAAAGGAAGCAATCTGTCAATTGTCGAACTTCTTCGAGACAGGGTCGTGAAATGAATGGTACAGCACGTAGGTCGCCACAACAGAAAAGATTTGACGCTAACATTGCTATGCCAGTAGTAGTTTAGTTTGCGTGCCGCGATAATGCCTTGAAGCGCCGTGAGCGGTAATGCGGCGGGGTGCCAGCGGTAATTCCTTGAACTACACTCTATATCCCAGATATAGGAGGGGAGTGGCTGCGTACCTCATGCGAACGTAATTTCGGTCCTGGTGGATATTTTAGTTTTGAAACAACTGTAATCATATCCTCGTCACTACAAGGCATCAGAACAATTGGATATCCCCCCACCGTGTAAAATGCTCCGACAACAATGCTCGAAGGAAGTACGCATACACGCCCCTCTCACCTCTCCGAAAACATGTCGTGTAAGCCTGCGATCGGAATGTCTTGTCCGTCTAGTCATTCTTGTTCGCTGCGGACCGGTGCGTGTCAGGGAGGGGGAGTTCGTCCAGGTGCCGGCGTCCGCGCGTTTTCCACAATTGTTGTAGCTTTCTCGCGCTTAACAGTTGCGGGTATAGGTGATGGGCGCGCCCTAGTCCAGCCTCTGACGTCCCAGCATCTGCAGCAAACAAGTGTACATTTTGACATTGAAATTGTAATGTCACGTGCGCATTTTTTGTGTGCGCTAACATAGTACGGAGTACGACGGGAGGGGCACGTCGTATAGTGGTCATGCTCGCTCGCGGAATCCCGTGACTACGCTATACCTTCTGCTAACAGTGAAACAAACCCTGCAGGGAAGATACATAGGGGCGCTACCGTGTATCTCTCCTTCCACTTTCCGCCCCCTTCCCACTACCGCCTTTCTGCTTCCTGTGCTTTCCGTCACAAACGCTGTTACGCGGTAAGTGCGCTTGTAACATGATATAGAGGAAACTACGTCGCATCGCGCAACGGATAGATATTGATCTGTGTCCATTACGTTTACGAATGCAGAAGTATAATAAATGTATGTGAAATAATTCATAATGACAAAAGACCTCAAGAAAGAAGAGAAGTAGTCCACCGAGTTTGTAATCAGAGAGGAATTCAAGTGAGCAAAAGATTCAGTTCAAGAAAATCGAACGCTGTTCGGCTAGGAGGGGGGGGGGGCATTTCACACCTTAACTAGTCCTTTCTGCTAGTTCATATCAATTAATAGGTCTCACATTGGTAGGACCGGTGAACTTCGTCGAAATAGTATAAGTGAGTCACTTAGGCACCAAGAATTTACATGTCTTCACAAAGTAGCCTGTACAAGATTCGTTAAGCAGCACTATTCGGTGCCCCCACCGAGCCGAATTGCGCCGAAACTTCAATAAAAATATGAAATCTGCAAAGTGTAAGAAAGTGGAATGTAATATGGATTTTGAGAAACTCAGAGTTCATTTGAATATGTACGTGGTTAACTCCTGTCGTCATCATTGCTCGTCCGTGATCACCCCGCCTCTTGTGGGCGGGGTTTCGGAACGGATTCGCTAATCACAGCAGTCGGCTAGACAGCAACCAGCACAACATGCGAGCAATGCAATAAGGCAGCATTTTCCACCGTCACCGGAACTTCGACGATCGCCTACCATCCTAGA